ATGACCGGGCAATCAGAAAAATTAGAAGCAAATTTAGTTTTTAAAAAAGCATCAACAACGTTTATGAAAAAGGTAAAGTCAACATTCGACTTCGAGAGATCATAAAAGTTTAAACAAAACAATTGACGATAAAAAGCAACCTGTAGAGAAGAGAAAACCTTGTCATATAGACACTGCCCAACAAAAGGTCTAACAAGAAATATCGCTATGCTTGCTATTCAAAGAAAAGTAGTTTCCTTATACCTGAGTGTCTATTTTTTCCCCACAGTCATGAAGGAGACCAGGAACAATTACCCCGGTCTCCAGAGCACACTGGTAAAGATAAACGTGCTTCAAATTCTGAAATGCATTTCTGATAATGCCTTCAATGTCATTTACGACCTACACGTTATCTTTTCATAAAACAATTTCAAATGTGAAATAGCGGATTTGATTGTACTTTTTAATTCCTTAATCGATTTCTTTATAGGTTGTCCTCTATGTATTTGAGTCAAACTCAAAAGTACTTAATCATCAACACCAAAATAGACATTTCGTGTACAAAGATCTTAACAATATCATAATATTGTATTATTATTGTTGTAATTTATTACCTTGTTCCTATGGAACATGGAACCTGTAGTTATATAAAGTGTTGAAATGTCGTATGTCTTGATTTAACTGATTTGTTTAAATTTTGCAATTTTAAATGTTCTTAAAGTTCATTTTGGAATTTTTATTACCCATGAGGTCTGTTCTTCACAGCTGTTAATATTTCGGTTAGGAGTAAAGAGAGATGTTTGGTAGACCATTTATTTAACTAGCTATTTATCTTCGTTAGGATATTTTTTCTGTAGTTTTTGGATTCAGTATAGTTATGGTTATTTGAATTTAATTTGTTTGCTGAGAATAATAATATAACTTGAAACTGACATACTATTTAAAAGAATTATAAATGTAAGTTTATTCGAAATAAATTAATAAATTTATTCAGTTTGAATACTTTATTCTTATGATTTCAAATAATATATGTAATTTCCCAATATTGTTATCATAGACTTAAAACATGAGGTTGTTATTATTTCAATGTGATTGTCACTCTTTTGCATTGCAGCAACGTTAATACTTCCAGATCTTCCGGGCAGGAGATGGTTAACCCTCCTAGGCACCTTATTCCTTTCCGGGAGTCTTTGTTTATGCATTGTTCACAGATTAAATGTATTGGTTGCCTGTTTTTCTTTTATGTCGACAACCGTTCATTATCTTTCCATTTTGACATATATGTCATTAAGCATCTTTGTTTTCTGAGTCATTTTATCATAAATGTTTACCATAGTAATTTTGAAGATATTCTGCTACTATGCGTGTCGCAGCTTCTATATGAATTATGTCATTAAAGAGAATGGCTCTGAAATATTTCGTTTTTAATTGATCTTGCAAATTTAGCACTATTTAAGTGAGTAACACTGATTTGATGATTTTATATGGAACGCCATCACTGCCTTATAACAGAACACAACAGTTGCATTGCGTCAACCTTCCATTACATTATGTCAACACTTTATGACATTTACTCACACTACTATTGCATTGTGTCAACCTTACATTACATTATGTCAACTCTTTATGACATTAACCCACAATGCTATTGCATTATGTCAACCTTCCATTACATTATGTCAACTCTTTATGACATTAACCCACAATGCTATTGCATTATGTCAACCTTCCATTACATTATGTCAACTCTTTATGACATTAACCCACAATGCTATTGCATTATGTCAATCTTCCATTACATTATGTCAACTCTTTATGACATTAACCCACAATGCTATTGCATTATGTCAACCTTCCATTATATTATGTCAACTCTTTATGACATTAGTCCACACTACTATTGCATTGTGCCAACCTTTCATTACATTAAGTCAACTCTTTATGACAATTACACACACTACTATTGCGTTATGTCAACTTTCAATTACATTATGTTTAGTCTTTATGGCATTAACTCGCACTTTAATTACATTGCGCCAATCGTCCACTGCATTATATCAGCTCTTTATGACATCAAGTCAAAACAATTTTACGTGGTGTAAAAATGTTTTTATATATATTTTCAACTCATTATTACATTATGTGCACTCTCTACTATTTGGTCTAAGTAGTTCATTACATGATGTGAATTTATCTTTAACTCAATATGAAGTCGCTATAATACGATGTCAGAATTTCATTACATGATCTGAAAAAATTGTCACATGTGGTCAATTCTTTTACTACTTTATGCCCTCAATATGCTACATGACGACGTGAATCAATTTCATGATGTGAATTTGCCCTTACTTTTTGACAAATCGTTATTACATTATGTCATTGTGTCTTTACAGTGTGTCAAAAATGCTAAGCCTCTTGTCAGCATACATGTATCTTAGGCTATTTCATCTCATATCAGATGTGAAAAGCTCATGTCATACTGTGCGCACTCTTCTACATTATGTCGATTAACTATTACGTTATGCGAACACGGGTATCCTCGGCCTTTATATGAGCATAACGTATTTTCCGCATTCCGAAAGCACTAAAAATGGCGGGAGAGAAAACTGTCATAAAATAAATTCTCAGCGATTAAATGATATAAAAACTTTAAGCGAAAAATGATTAACAATCTTGAAATGTGCAAAGCCTTAACACTGCGACTGTGAATTAAAGTCACGCGTCGAAATTCAATGGCGTTTACTTTTATCTGATAATTAAATAAATCAAATATGAGTCGTGCAGCATTTTTTTTCTTTTGAATTGCTTTTTTTTAAATAAAAATCTTAAACTTCTGATCGTACTCAGAACACTGTCATAAGTTTTTTTTATCAGTCTTTAACTCTCCTTTTTTAAAGTGTAAACACATCGATCGAATAACACACGTGCACTGGCGGCTTGGGGAAGGGGGGGGGGTGGGGTCAGAAATCCCGCCCTACCATCTTTAGTCACCAAAATATACATAAAATTAATAAATTTATTAGTTTTACATTGTAGGACATTGCATTACTTTCACATTAAGTTTAGCTGAATTATATTGAAAATTTTTTTTCTATTAAACTATAAAGCCTGCCGGAGAGTTTTTCTGCTTTCCCCCTTTGGTCACCAACTCTATACCGTCCCCTTTCTTTTTTTCAAGATACCCATATGCGCCACAAATATGTGCCCATGCATGCTTATTAAGGCATATTCAACTGATTTAGATGAGGGACTGGTAGATTTTTATAACAGAATTCTGGTCTTGGAATGGTTGAAAAAATTACAGTAACTAATTCCGTGACATAGCATTTATTTGAAAGAGGATGTCAGCCAGAAAAAAAAATTATTTACCCGAAAAAACTTGACAAGCCAAAAAAATTTGTCCAAGCCCGAAAATCCTATTTCGGAGAGGGGGGTCCGACTTTGATTAGTCATATATTTTTTTCAGTTATACTACATTACCCCTAGTGGACTATACTTCAACAATAAGTGGGGGTGGGGGCTGTACTTTCAATGAACATTAGATTTTCTAAAATAAGGTTATGTCTGGGAAAAGAGGGGGGGCTGATATTATGTGTCTATAATTATTCGTCCTACTCAATCGCCCCCCCCGCGGGCCGGGCCGTGAAAGACAGTCGTGAACAGTGAGGGTTATGCTAGATATACAGCTTTCAGATAATGTAAATGTATTTTCACATCAGGTAATGAACTTTTGGAATCAACATGATAAAGAGTTAACACAATATAAAGATATTTTTTAAATCACATAAGAGTTGACATAACGTAATTATATATCCACATCACGGAATGGAGTTTTGACATAATGTAATAAAGTGTTGATATAATATAAAGATATATTTACATTATGTTATACACTTTTTATACCACGTAATAAAGCACTGACATAAAGGTAAGATGTGTTCACCTCACATCATGATGCTCTCGCCGTAATATAAAGATAAATCCATATCACGTAATAATGCTTTGACATAATAGACATATACACTCTCAAAAAGGAATGGACTTTTGACTTCATGTAATGATAAGCTTAATTATAAAACACAATTTACTTAACGTGATGCAATTTTGACCTCACATATTAAAGAAATGAAATAATATAAAGAAACATTCATTTCACGTAATTAAGTTTTAACACAATGTAAACATATTTTCACTTCACATAATGAACTTCCGACTTCAAGTTATAAAGTGCTGACATAATGGAAGAATGTGTTTACTTCATGTAATGCAGCATTGACATGATGTAAAGATATTTTTACATCACCCCATAAAAAATTGACATAACGTAAAGATATGTTCACATCACGTTATGATAGATTGACATAATGAATGCATAGTTTTATGCTATAAGGCAGTGGTGGCGTTCCATAATTTTACCTGGTATCTGATTGCTTTCGTGTCAATTCATAAGATTGTGTAAATCAAAGTGTGTTTTTTTAATCGGAAAAAAGAATAAATTAACTGAATTTAAGATTGAATTCCAAAAGAACTTTGATTATATTATCTTTCTTTAAAAATTTTTACCCATATGGATTTAGAAATCAAACATTCTTATTGTACTGACTTTTTAATGGCCATGAACAAATGCCATTTATGTCTCTTTGGTAAATTACGCAGACGGAAATAAGAATTTGGATCTTTATGAAGCTTTTCTTTCATGCTTTTGTGGGCATCGTGTTTCCAAAGGGTTGTCGACCGATTTTTCACGTGCTGACACCTTCGAAGAATGTAAAAGTCATGATGCATAGACATTTTTATGTTTCAAAGAAATGCTCGAGTTGCAGAATGCTAAGTATTTTGTGTAACTCTATGGTAATATAATTCTAATGACGATTTAGGATGTGATATACTGTTTCTAATAAATTAAACTTTATGGAAAGAGCTGCAGACCAAAATGTACAACCAAATAATTCTTATTCTTGGGGAAAGATTTACCAAGATTGCCCTGGGCCAGTTATTTGCGAAATCATCCGCTGACAATGTTATTGAGCAATATGTGACCGTTCTTCGTTTATCGTGACAGAAATGATAAAAAATGATTTAAAAAAATATGGTTTAGGTTTTATTTCTGCAGGAAAAACAAAACAGAATATATCTTTTCCGGTATCGTCCTGAACTTCAGTTTTGACCAAAAGACTTATCTGCAAAACAAGAAGATAAATGAAATGTGAAAAAAGAACAGAATTCAAACTCAAAGTCCATTTAAACAATACAATGCGTAGCACACTAAACATGGACTTCCTAAATCATCAGAGTCGGGAGCAAGTGCAATTGTGCAGTAAGCATCGCTTTCGAGCGATTATAAGAGCCGTGTGCTACTTTTCATGATCAGAAACGGAAAATGTGTAGAAATGTCAGTGTGTCAATAATGACCTACACTAATTATAAGAAGGGTCAGTTAGCATATTACCTAATAATAGATTACATGTATATCTGCCTATAAAGTCACTGTATAATATGAAATCATTTTTGGGTGTCTTCGTTCATATACTAATAATAGAGGTAAATTATTAGTTTTGGCTGTTGGGAATAATATTCAGCTCTTTGTCATTTTTTTTTTCATTTTTCACAATGAATAAGATGATGTTTCAGGAGATTTCAACAAACGTCTAATTGAGATGTAAAATGTTTTACAAAAATACACCTTCACACATTGTGTGAGTAGCAAATGTGATATTTTCCAAATATGATAGAGCTGAAGGAGCACTTTGTGCAACAGTTTTAGATTTGTTATATTTTTTTTAGAAAGAATTGAACATCATTTTAAATTTTGGGAGGTCTCCCAGTCTTATTCTTTATTACATAAAAAAATGTTTCTTAAAACACACAATATTTTTAAGTCATTGGTTGATACTAATACAATTCCGTAATGCTGTAATATAATTTGTGTATTTTTTCCGCCTTGAGTAATGTTTTTAATGATTTCAACGTTTAAATATTATTTTTGTATTTTTCTTTAAACTCCCGATCTTAAAAATAATCTTACGTGAGGATACTGTTTTAAAACAGGCACTGTAATGGCAAACGTGTTTTGCTTCCCTGGCTCTAGAGGGCATTTTGTCTGTGAAACACACGTGTTTTTCTCTGCCGGAAATGAAATCGGAACGCCACCTATGATTCCTGTTACATGAGTTGTTGGTTTTGTTGATTCCACATCTATAAGAAAAATTCTATAAACGACAAAATAGCCATGACAGTCGATTGTATCAAATACCACCTAACAACTTTCTAACTGAAGATGTCAGTAGAAAGCTGGATTTACAAGTGTCATACAAATTTTTAAACCATCATTTTCATTTTTATTTAACTTTGGATAACTATGTTTATCTGTTCAACATAGAGGGCTCACAGCGGGTGTTACTTGTACACAAAAGAGACTTTTTTCAAGCGATCCCACTTCTTTGTGTGCAGGGGTTCGTCCTTCACCATTTTTTTTCGATTTGTACTGTTTATACCATTCGTTAGATGTTAAAACTGTTTTTACTGTTTGTTTGTTTTCTCGTCTTTTGTAAAAAAAAAAAAAAGGCCCCAGCTCCTTAATTACTCCTCGACTCTAGAAACAGACGCTATAACCACTGCCTGCGCTTATTGTTTGTAATCATCACATCTATAAATGTTATTTCCATCGCTTCAATGCTAACACATCCATATCTACATAATACGCAAAAGCTCAGCTCAAACGCAACTTTGTTAAGCCGCGTATAACCAAGAAAACAGTCCGATTTGGCAAGTCTGATATAGTGACTTTCAAATTTTCTAACTTCTCATTCATGCTCTTGCTTTCTGTAACACTCTTCTTTATTAAGAGTTCTGTAAAAACAAGAGGTCCATGGGACACTTAGCTCACCTGAGTAACTTTTTATACCTATTGTGGCCCCGGTGTACTCCCGGGGGTTATGACTTGAGTAATTTAGAATCTACTCTACCCATGTATGCTTTCAGATAGGTTTCAGCTTTTCTGGCCCAATGGTTCTTGAGAATAAGATTTTAAGGATTTTTTCAATATATTTCGGTATACTTTGATCCCCTATCGTGGCCCAGTCCTCTCCCGGGGGTCATCATTTGAACAATGTAGAACCTACTCTATCTCCGAATGCTTTCTCATAAATTTCAGCTTTTCTGGCCCAGTGGTTCTTGAGAAGAAAGTATTTAAAGATTTTTCCTATATATTTCAATGTAATACTTTGATTCCCCATGGTGGTCTCATCCTTCCTTTGGGGATCATGATTTAATAGTTTATTATCTTCACTACCCCATGATGCTTCCAAATAAGATTCAGCTTTTCTGGAACGATGGTTCTTGAGAAAAATTTCAAAGATTTTTCTTATATATTTCAATTCAAAGTTTGGATTCCCTGACATGATCTGAATAATTAAGAATCTGCACTACCCCAGGATGCATCCTCTTAAGTTTCAGTTTTTTCCGAACCAGTTGTTTCTGAGCTTTTTAAAGATTTTCCCTATATATTTCAATGTAATGGATTCCCTATTGTGGCCCGTCCTACGCCGTGGGGTCATGATTAGAAACAATTTAAAAATCTTCCCTACCCAAGGTTGCTTTCTCATAAGTTTCAGCTTTTCTGGCTCAGTGGTTCTTGAGAATAAGATTTTAAATTGCAACGCCCTATTTGTTCTTTTATTGATTATCTCTTATACAGAATTACTATTAAAAATTGGACTGTTTAAATCACCTGTAAGTTAAAATGTTCCATAGTAATTTTTTTCTGTCAATTGTATTTCACCTATAAATAAAATTATTTAATGTATGTTTTAAAAAGCATACCTGATTAAAAAAATGGAAGAATAAAATGTTTCACAATACTCACTGGAGATGAACGAGGCACTAAGCGTTTCATTGGTCTCTGAATAAAATATGCAAGGTTCGTTGTCGCATCCAGATACATTTACCGATAAAATCTTTCCTGAGACTGACCCTGAAAGTAAAGCACTCAATCTGACTGACCGAATTTTACAATGCCACAAACATAAAAAAAATTCTATGCTATTAACCAATATCAAAGTGAAGAACAATCAGTTTATTTTCCTTCTGTTTGAATTAATCTATTACATATTTATCTAGGGACGTCTGTATAACTCTATACATTGCACTTATTATAAATAATGCAATTCCATTTTTTGCCATCATGACATTTATTTTTTAACCAAAAGTTAATTGACATGGATGTCTCACACGGATTGAGATTTTAAAACAAGATGTGTTTGTGAAACACTGATGCCCCCTTATGGCAACATAGCGAAGATTCAACTTTTCCTAAATGCAAATTGTTTGTGCCCAAAGTAAGCTCTTCTCTCAAGAAATACAATTATGAAATATGAAAGCCATAGCAGCACCTGTTCAAAAGGTATGGCCAAGGATGTTTTTTTGAAAGGTAGGCCAAACTCCAAGATCAAGGTCAAAGGGGCAAAGTTGTTGCAATTTGTTTCTTAAAAAAAGGGCTTGTCACAAGGATTATATATGTGAGGTATGAAAGCCATAGCCCTAACTGTTCAAAAGTAATGGCCAATGTTAAAGTTTTTAAAAAGAAGGTCATACTACAAAGTTCTTGGTATCCAATGAAAGAAATATGTGAAGCATGCAAGCCCTAGCCATAACCCTTCAAAAGTTATGGTCAAGGTTTGTTTTTGAAAAGTAGACCAAACTCCAAGATCAGGGTCAAAAGGTTAAATATTTTGATATTCAATGGAAGGGCTTCTCACAAGCATTACATATCTGAAGTATGAAAGCCCTGTCCGTTATCGTTCAAAAGTTATGACCAAGGTTAATTTTTTAAGTACATAACTCACCAAGGTCAAGGTAAAAAGGTCAAAGATGTTGGTATCCAATGATAGGTCTTGTCACAAAAATACATATATAAGTATAAAAATTCCTAGTATCCACCATTCACAAGTTATATCCAAAGTAAAAGTTGGGAATATTTGTGTAAAAGTGTGTTAAATTCCAAAGTCAAGGTCAAAAGATCAAATTTGGTTGTATTCAAAGAAAGGTCCTGTCACAAGGAATACAAATATGAAAGTCATAGCTCCACTAAATCAAAAGCTATGAGGAAGGTTAAAGTTTTTGCTGACAATCAGACAAACAGACAAAGAGACAGCTAGACAGACGGACGGACGTTACAAAAACTATATACCCTCGAATCTTCGATTACGGGGGCATGAAAACATATCCGATGTATTATTCAGACAGCAATTTCTTCTTTTCTTAGCTTGTATTTTCCGAAATATTGTAGGCAATTTTACGACTTTTCGTTCGTCTTATCAATTACTACGTTGCATGACTTGTGGTCTCAAGCTATTTATTCACACTTTCATAATATTATATCAATATTGTTGTGTTACGTTTCAAACTATATATTGGCTATTAGCAGACCTATTTTTGTATTCTTATGAAGCAGACTTTCTTTCATAAAAGCTTCTACTTAAAATAAAAAGAAGTATCTGGGTGTGGATTTTAACAATTAGATATACCGAGGTTGCTTTCCTTTTAAAATATTCATTTTTCATTCATACATTGATTCGATATATCCGTTAGAACTCAACATTTGAGATATGACAATGTCGGACACATTTGAACGTTTTTCAACAAATTGTTAAGCTACTAGTTTTACAGCGAATCGTCTACAAATGTTGTCCCTTTGCCAAAACATGACAAGGTGCACATGCCGTCGGACCGATTGACAGGGGACGCCTACTCTTCCATAATATTTTAGTGCAGCTCCGAATTTAACGTGTTCAATGGACAGTTAAGTTGAGTGTGATGGCTGTTTATTATCTTCCTATTTCATTAAAAATAAAACAACGATTTTATATGTTCTTTAAGAGATAAGGGAATTTAATATTATAATCCCTTCCAGTATTTCCGAATTGAACATAATTTTTTTTGTTTCAATCTTTATGTATAATTTAGGAACTGGAACTCAGGTACAAAGCAATGAAAGGGGAGGGGTCAAAAACTTTCTTGAATTTTTTTTTTATAAATGGAAATATCATTTTTTAGAAAAAATACCCGCAGTTTTGGCAAAAACAAGAGGCCCATGAACCACATTGCTCATCTGAGTAAATTTGACAATGCTGTTTGTAACCAGTTTTCCCAACTTGTAATACCTATTGTGACCCTACCCTACTACCAGGTGTCTTAAATTGGATAATTAAGAATCTAAGCTAATCCAGAATGCTTTCACATAAGTTTCTGCTTTTCCAGTCCAATGTTTCTTGGGAATAAGATTTTTAAAAAAAATTCTTTTTATTTCAATGTAAAACTTAGATTCCCTATTGTGACCCCGCTCCTACCCCGTTGGTCATGATTTGAAAAATTTAGAATTTAAATACCTCAGGATGCTTCCACATAGGTTTCAACTTTTCTGGCTCAGTTATTCTTAAGAAGATTACTAAAGATTTATTTTATATATTTAGATGTAAAACTTGTATTCCCTATGGTGACCCCGCCCTACATCCGAGGGTTATACTTTGAACGATTTAGAATCTTCATTACATCAGGATGCTTTCACATAAGTTTCAGCTTTTGTGGTCAAGGGGTTCTTGAGAAGATTTTAAAAAAGATCAAGTGAGGTTTTTCAGGTTTATCACAGATAAGCTAAAAGTTAATTCCATCGCAAACAGAAATAAATGGATCTTCCAAACATTCTTAAGTTTTAACCTCAGCATACAATCTGCAGATGTCGTTAGAAAATATCTTTTATCTACCAACAAAACGTTACACTTTCATCTATACTCTATATAATTGATTCATTATTAAATTTGGCCATAATAAAAATCTTGTTGTATTTTTTTCCATTAGTATATGAAAAAGGCGAAGATGTTTAACAGTGGTCGATATTTCAGAATTCGGTCAGTCACCTAAATAACCACCTTTCGCTAATGTGAAGTATTTTGCTCATTTCTTGACATAGAAGGAATGACTTGAATTACTTCTCCTCAGTCAAACAGTATTACCTACAAGACATGTCAGTTTAGCCGTTATAACTTGTTCACAGACTTCCCATTTTAGCGCAGTGGTCTAAACTCTTGCTCAAGAGATGTATAGGAAGAGCTGATCCCTTACGCCGATTCCACTGTTGAACATGGAGACCGGTCCTTCGAATGAGACTGTTTAAACCAAGGTCCCATGTTGCAGTAGATGTTGGGATGAAAAAGATTCCTCTTTGTTCAGTAGCTATGAGTGCCGAGTAAAGGTATAAAGCAGCCTTCTACTGGCATGTGGGCGATTCTCCATATGAATATGCGACATAATGACCAACTTAGCAACTAACTATAGAGCAAAAGCTCTAACCATTGCGCCACGCAGGCAACTAATTTCAATAAAGGAGAAGCCTTCATTCAGAAAGGAACAAACCTAATCTAATATATTAAAAGAAAGTCATACGATTCATGTCATTTTTCTAATTGTTTAAAGCAATATTAATATTCAATCTCCATCGTCAGTAATAGCTGCAAGGTTCAACCAATGTCGACATTTTGTGCTTGAGAGTGACTTTTTTTACCTCTAATGCATGGTTCCTTATGGGAAAAGACTTTTGCGAGCTTGCGTTTCTAGATAAAGAATTCACTTTGAATTTGAAAATCTCCCCATTTGAAACCAACTTGATTTCTTACCATATGGGAATACTAACAAATTACGCACAAATAGTAAGATATCAAACAGTGCGAATAATCTCAATGCGCATAATGTATATAGGTCAACAAATAAAAATATAAACTGGTAAATCCCCTTTTAGATTTCACATTCTTCTCATCATCTTTATTTTGTTGAAAGACTGCTAATGTAGACCGATTTATATTTTAAATGTAAAAAGTTTTAATACATAATGCATATTGGAAAAATATAAAATTGAACTCAAAAATTAATCAAACGACTAACACTAAATTGCAATGCTGGTCAAGAATGAATCAGCATTTGTTTTGACTTCAAAATTGAAGAAGTTGTCTGTTTACTGTGAGCCAAATCTTAGATTTTGCAATTTTTATTTCATCTAATAAATTTTTTCCTGTCTTGTTCATGGGCAAAATGGAGGGAGAAAGTATCTTTAAAAACAGTTCTTGTCAACAATATGTAGATATAACATGCTGTACAGAGTAATAAATATGAATGGAACGAAAACGAGATGAATTTAGTAAACTTTTATTGCTTTGATTTTTTTCCTAATCCTATCGTCTAATATCCATGAAACGAGATGAATTTAGTAAACTTTTATTGCTTTGATTTTTTTCCTAACCCTATGGTCTAATATCCATGAATCCATGATCATAATTTTAGAGAAATATAAAAAAAAAACTGAAATGATGGTTAATTGCATGTGCGAGCACTTTTTTTCATTTGCAAATATTTCAAACTAACAAAAGAGACTGTTTTGCTAAAATATTAATTTGTATACTGGAAATTTTCCCTTTTATTTTCGCTAGCTCCTGTTGCAAATGGGAGAATTTGAATTGAGGTATCGTTAAAAAAGACAACAATTAGGCTTACACAATTTAATGTGGCTGAATTTAAATGAGACAGTTTTGTTTTAATCTCAATGGGCAAAAAAATTCCTGCATAAAATTCCCACTATTAGAATTCATTTGCAAAATTCCTTTCTGTTGATTTTCCATCATTGGAATGAATATACAATGCATGCTCTATTGAGAAGAATTAATATCAAAATCTTACCACAATCTTTGAAAATAATAGAACTAACTTCTTTTGCAGCATACACAATAACAACAAGAACTGTTAATTTTCCAAGCATCATAGTCTAATGGAGAGCAGATTGTTGTGACGTTTTAAGTTCAGAACGGCAAAACGAGGCGAAGATAAGAATTGTTATCAATAGTGCATAGACTAGCTTACTTGAATTTAACCCTTTACTTGAGGATAAACGGTAAAACGATAAACAAACTCTGATATTATTTTATTTCATAGACATTCTTACTAATGTGTCATGATAAACTTCAAAGTAAGCATTTCAAAAATTCTAGGATGTTGGTTATAACAACCTTGGTTGTAAATACATATATCATTTGATCGTATTTGGGCTGAAACGTCTCATACTCATTGTTAGTCCATTGTTTTCACAGTTACGATTGCCTAAAGATTATTTTGATCGGTATATTAAATGGTATTAAGTGAGACTGATTGACAGGGGATGCATTCTCCCCTTGAGCACCTGATTCTGCTTTAAGCGTTTCCAAGGGTTGAGATTAATCACTGTTCGTTATCCTTGCCTTAACAAAGCTTTCTCTGTCATCTCAAGTATCAGAAAATATGTTTTTAGAGTTGTAATCTTTTTACATTTTGAAGAAAAACATATGTACTCGCGCACATCTTCTGATCCAAAATATGACCCATGTTTTAAGCCAATTTTACAAAAAATAAATAAATAATTTCAGGTTATTGGGAAAACTATGCAATTCTGACATTATACTGGTAATACATTGAATAGTGAATGATTAAAGCAATTTTTAATAGAAAAGCAGCCATGAAGTCATAATATGTCGAAAAACTTAACAGTTTGGATTTTTCAGAAATTCACTGGGCAAAATAAAGACTGATTGCCTCTTAGTCTTAATATACCGGGGTTTCTCTTCGAATTTTAATGATTACAGCTAAGCTTGAAGTATTGTATTTAATTGGTGGTTCTTTTCCTTTAAATTATAAGTAAGTGCCAGTCTTTAAATTATAAGTAAATGCGAGGGAAGTAAAACTTGAAATAAGTATCTTTTATAGGTTAGTTTTTTTTAGATCTCTGAACTATAAGTAAGTTTAAGGAATTAAAACTTGAAATATGTGTTAGTAACTTACCTCGCAGACAGGCGAAAATATACCCAAAAAATTAGCATACCTGATCATTATTTTTTTCTTGATTTATAAACAATGAGTTAAAAAAAAGATTGATTTTCAATTATTACTGATTGAAGAAAATCTCCAAAATCTGAACTTTTTACTCCTTCTAAAACCAAGAATAGAGAAATATTTAACGATGCCAGATATTTTGCAAAAAAAAAAAAAAAAATTGTATTTTTGTAAGCTTTTACATCAAAAATTCATTTACGAATATAAGTAAAATAGTATAAATAAAACCCAATCTAACATAGTATATAATGATGCTGAGGTAAGCGGAAATAAAATGTACTCTGTCTCCTTATTTTGTTTAAAAGTTTATCAAACTCCAACCTAAATCAATTAATCCATTGATAAAGTAAGAACAAGTCTCAGAAGTATTCTACAAGTGTTCTTCTTGCATTAAAATCATAATAAACCGATGTTCTAGACACAAGATCTTAGCAAGGTGAAATGGCAGACTCTTTAGGGGAAATTTTCATTCACATCAAATAAGGAAAAGCATCACGAGGTCTAAACCTTAAGATCTAATGGTGAAACAAAACGATTATCTGCATTCCATCCCTCCAATTAAATTACCATTAATAAAAATTCTTTGATAAAAAAATAAAAGGTTTGAAGAATAGATAATAATGATTAAATAAATGTAGAGGAGAAATAAATTAAAATAAAAGAAAATTTCAAACTATTCGATATTTCAGCGTGCGTAAACTTGTGTCGTAACATACATTGTTATACAATAAATTCAAAACGTTAACGTAATTGCATAAAAACACACATGTGTACATGTTAGACCAAAATAAATCCATTTGAACTTTTTTTTAAAGAAATGAACAAAGTATTTAGTAAACTTGTATCGTTTTCTGTAACATTATCCTTCCCTGAATGAAAAGTTTAAAAAAAAAACTTTGCTTTATTATGGCTATTTTATTGACAGTAAGAAATTACGTATATGATGTAGGTGGTCTATAGTATTTTATTTTTTCTAAGTAGGCATAAAGGACTGCGGTAAGTTTTGCCATTTAAAATTCATTCTTTATTGCTTTCGAATCATAACTATTATCTTCAGAGTTCTGAAAACAATTTTATTTGAAATGTTTTATTCAATAACAATTTCTGCAAGAGTAAATTTAATTCTTAAACGACATATTTTTCGAAGCATGCATCGTTTTTGAGATCATGGGTTTCCATGGGTTATGAATAGTAGAAGAAGAACTTTTTTGACCCATGATTTTTCTAGATTTGGCAGAAGGATACTATATGACAAACTATGCTTAAGATCCCTTTCTTACTGAATTGTGTAAAACTGTACAAATAATCTTGAGTGGTCTGACTTCCAATATATCTATTTTTATTTAAAAAAAATTATGTTGAATTTTCTCTAGTTACTCTGGGGGTAGTCCGGAAGACCTATGAAAAGCTTTCTTTAAGAAGGTAAGACACTTTCGGAAATTTCAAATAAATTATTTGTCTGTCTGTATATGTGTCCAAATGGAACAAAAAAATCAAAGTCATTGGTTCTGTCCACTTGTTAAATTAATACTAAATTGCAATTTTTTAGGCCTAATAAGTATGTATGTTAATGTCATAGGATTGAACCGATTGAGCAAAGCTAGGGTCAGTATCATTATACTAGTATTTTAGAAATACCTTTAAAAAAAATCACATTTATTGTGGACTTTTGCAAAATGCGCTGACTTTCCAATATAAGGAAGCTCTTTTGCAATAAAAAAATCAGCTTTACATTTAATTAAACAAAAATAACTAGCTGAAAAAAAGCACAAAGTTGTCCAATAAGAATCCGACAAAATCCTATCCTTAAATACCGCCCTTCTCTTGCTAGTGTCCCAAACACCATACCTATGGCCACTGGAAAGTTTTTCTTATTTATTATCAATTCTGTACCTCCATACGTGGCACAGGTTTAAATGTCGAAGGAAACCGTCAAGTAAAGTCAGCACTTCGCAAAAGTCCAAAACTCAATGTTTTCTTTATGTAAGGCATGTTGATTTGTTATAATATGACCTTAAATTTACAAACAGTAGCTGAAGTACATTTTTAAAGAAAAATTCTATTTAAATTGATCATTGTGACGTCATCGGTGCTGTTGTTCAATAGAAGATTGGTTCCTTATTTTCGAAACACCATAAGCCTTTTAATGAAATGACAAACATTGTTCAAGCTCAAAAGTCCATTAAACAATGTAAAATTGGGGCAGAGCAAATACGACCTCTAAAATATCAGAGGTGAGATCAGGGGCAATGAAGGAGTGGAGACCTTTTTGTGAACATCAATACATAACCAGTTTATATGATGTTTTTATACTTGGTCATATGATGTAGATTGATCCAACCAGATACAGTCTATCAACTATACAAAAAATAATGCTCATTACATAAAATATCCAATGTACTTTAAGGCATTTCCAACACTTTTCTTGGCTTATACAAATGAACAATATTTTTCAATTTGTGAAGGGAAAACAAATTAAGCGACGTTTGTCTCCTCTGAATTATTGAAATTATTTTTAACTTTAAAAATTAAACTTGTCTGAAGAAAGGCAGTATTAAAATCACGTCGTTGAGGGGGTGTGGACACATTATAACTATAAAAGAAGACAGTAAATCCTGAAGAAATGAATGATTGTCTAAAGCTCAATGTTGTCTTTTGTCATGCTGAAATCGATAAGTGGGTATTTTTTTTTTTATTTTACTTATGTTTGTAAATCCTGAAGGAAAGAAGGAAAAGGGTTCAAAAATGTGATGAATATTTTTTACCGTATATATTTTTGATAAAATAAATGCGATGATGATTAAAAAGAAAGTTTTTATGAACAGTTTTATTTGAATTTAAAAATTATATATTGTCGTCAGATGTATTTTAAACTAACTTAAATATTAACATTTTAAGGTTCTTATTTTTAAAAGTCATGATGTCTCATATTTTTTTCATAGCACCTGGTTCTACCTCTTTATTAAGAAGTCTGTCTTCATTTTGCTCACAATTTGTATTGTTTCAACGGAATTTTAACGATATTTGTTTGTTATCTTCTCATTTCATTGCAGATTTGTCCTATCTTGCTTGTTTCATCTTTATATTGGAAAATTATACAACAGATTGTTCTCCTTTGAACATGTGCGCAGGTAGTCGCGAAAGAAACAATATTTTTCAAATGACTGTATCAGAAACTATAGAAGATGCTATTCCACGCCTTCTACAAAAATTTCAACTTTTTTTACGGAACCTAGGAGACTTTTTAGATACTCTTGTAAGTATATCACTTTCAATATTTCGAATAAATTACAAATGTTTATGAATTACATCAAAGGCTAAATCCATCCTTTTTTTTAAAATAGCATCTGGAATTTGATTGACCAAAAGAAAATTCTAAAAGCCATACCACCTTTGGTCAAATTTTGGCTGAAATCAGACGAACCTTAAATATAAACACATTAAAAAAAAGCAGAGACCGATTTTTTTCTCTTTATCAACTAATATTTCTCCTATTTCACTATTTGTGGTGGAAGCCTATAAGATATCTCAGAATACTTAATATTTTCTTGCAATTTCAATTCGATAGATAAACAAAATTATTTACCATTACATATGAACTTTTTTAGCATTTATATCATAAATCCTGTAACAAAAATAGCAGTAGCCAAATTAAGTAAAAAGGTAAATTTGTTGAGTTCTAAAGATATTCATAAGATTTCAAAATTCTTTTTACCTACGAATAAAATTTTCGGGCCTTTTAAAAAAAAAAATAAATAAATTATCCCCTTTAAAGCAGAATGGCAGAATTTTGTTACATTATATCTGTCTGCTTTTTTTTTTTTTTTTTTTTTTTTTTTACAAAAAATACCAATTTAGAATGTCCATAGACATGACCAACATGGCATTTTATGCTAATTGAAATTCATGTCGATTAATGTTAATATACAAACTTTTTTATTCTTAACATGTTACTACTTACCAAAGAATAAAGAAATTTGAAATAATGTAAGTGGCAAAACCTTACGTTGGACATTACTTTCCTTTGGAGGTATCTATTTTTGCAGTGCTTTATATTTTTTAAAGAGCACCCCCTACTGGTGATGTTAAAAACAATGATACGAGGGCTGTTCAATAAATAATGTCCTCGGTGCTCGGAAAGAAGCAAAACACGCTTTTCAATGATTTAGTCTTAATGATTTAACTTAATATTGTCTTTTAATTATACTGAAAGGAAAAAGAAACGCATAGTAGCATAATAGCGTAAAATATTTAACTATGTGGCCGAAAATTATGAAAATTGGTCAGATGTGTAATTTGGTTACTGTGCACTAAAATCGCTGGTCAAAATAACTCAACCATGAAATGTATGGCATCACGTTGGGGAAGTGATAAAAAGCCAAATACACGTACATGTTGATGATGACAATTTTATGATCACAATATGTAGTGCCAAGAGATGCATTAGAGTTACAGACATCGTGTTCCGATATTTGCAGTCAGTATAAATTTCTTGCAATCATGGTATGGCTGACGGAAGTTACATTGTGTCAAGTAATTGAGTTCCATAAGTGAATAAAAAGGCAACAACATGTTGCTGTGCAGTTTGTTAGTAAATTTTCAACCAAAAAAGTTTTCTCGATTATCAGAGAGTAATTCAAAAGGTTTTCAACCAACCATGACGGTGACGTTGGCGCGTAACAACGTCACATCAAGATAGGGCTTTTCATCATGCTACCTCGGTTACTGTTAAGTCATTATCACTGAAACCGATATTTTTACAGCAGACAATCATACTCAAATTTTCATCCTAATACTGACAGAAACTCTCTGCTCTAATTTGGTACGCAAGCTTGGCAACTTTACGTCAATTTTTCTCTCACACGCGCATGTACGCGCCGTATTCGTAACGTTTTTAGCATGTTCGCGCTGAGAAAATGTAGCCAGTGTTTGTCGAGACCTCCTTACAAACATTCACGTGTACCAAATCAGCTAGATTCTGTAAATTCTATCCTAAATCGAAAATTCGTGGAATTCATTGGGCGGGGGGATTTGTTGGCTTTGGAATAACACACCTACTCTCAACCATTAAGACTATCGTCGGAAGGCTTGAATGATAATCCTGTGAGAAAGATAAATGCTATGGTGATCTCAATGCACAAGAAAATCAAGGCTGTTACTGATTCGCAAGGGAGATAATGAGAATTTCTATTTTAATTTTGGGGGGTATTGGCATGTCAATTTCAATAACTCAGGAATTATAAATCAAAGTCTTACAAGATTTCGGTTACTTGTTGTTTAAAGTTGGATTAAATTGTTTGATAACAATACTGGAAAACATACTGGAAATGAAAGTTTTATTTTTATTCAAAAGTGTATTATGCGTTTCTTTCTCCTTTCAGTATAAAATACATGTCCGAAAATTTTTTTTATCCAACTTCTGATTGTTTTTAGAACTCATTTTTGGGTATGACCCTTAGTATACTGGAAAATGGCAAATCTTATGATTTCCTGGACTCGTTTCTTCCTTCTGAAAGGTTTTTTTTTCAAGTTTGGAAAATGAAACAAGTCAAAAGGCGAAAGATCTGGCGAATATTGTTAATGTGAAAAAGAATAACTTTCTGTTTATCCCAAAAACTCCTTTACTATTCAGGGCATGCAGGTTTGGACGCTGTCATCAAGAAATTTAAGGTAGTGGATTCCTGATTCTGGTTCCTTCCTCTCATTAAACTTTTTTTGCAAAAAATTTGCTTTCTAGACTCTTCCAGAAATTAAACTGCACCCCCCCCCCAAATCGAACTTGAACAACAAGTCCACTTATATTTAAGAAAATTGCATATAAATCTGTCTTTGTGCTCTTGCAATTATTTGCTCTTCTCAGACCGTTGCTGTTTTTGTCAAGTACATCTTATTGTAAATTTTGTTTCGAGGGTTTTAAGCAATAGATTCAAGTTTCATTATCTGTATGAATTTCAAACAAACTTGGATAACTACAATTTTTGATTTTTTGAAATAATTGTTTAGATATTCTTACACCCTGTCGATTTCACTCATTTTTCAAAACATAGGGAGACCTTTGAGTACTAAGCTTTTTTTACTGTCAAACGTTTCTTAAACGTGAACTACTCCCGAAATGATGTCTGTTAAATTTGCTATGGATCTTAAAGTCAATCATACTTCATCAGTGATTACTTGTTGAAATTTGGCAAACAGTACATTAGTTGTTATATTTTTTGTTGGCAAGGACGGTACCCATTTTTGATGCCATTATATAATATTTTATCATTGAAATCCACCTGCTCATTTGTCTGTAAAACAGACATTGGCTGCCGTAAATGTTACATATTTCAGTGAATATTTCTTTGGGATTCTTACGAGTTTTACAGCAGCTTGAATGAAGCGTTTAATTTCACTCTAGTTTACTGATTCTTTACCATTCATTTAACATGCAGTGTCTCGAATAGTCCCTGTTTTCCAGCTTCTCACAATGAAACTATGTGATGAAAAGTGGTAACATCAATTGTTATAAATTCATTAGAGATTCAATAATGCGAAAAAGTCAAGCTTATTGTCATATGATATCTGTATTTTATGTCATACAGTTCAGGACATTATTTATTGAACAGCCCTCGTAATTTATGTGTAATTTTTAACAAGCTGTTGAATTGAAAGCAGGTGGGGCACATTTAAATTCAACATAGTAACGGCAACGCAACCAAAACAGTGACAATTTGCGATTAGGAACTTCAAATTTTACTAAGTTTAAAACCAGCAATAAATTATATTCAAATGATGCACAGATGTAACAAGAGAAGGGCAAATTAAATCGGAAATCATCATACTTTTAGACCACTTTATGATCCCCTGTTAATTCCATACTGTATCACTGAGAATCAAAGATCAGTTGCAATGATAAATAAAATTATCTAATGAACTGATACACCGTTTTTAATACATCCAAAATCAAAAGCCAAAGAGGCATTTATTTGTCCATTGAAGAAATTTTGTATGATTGTCTTATTTATTTATTTGCCAAAAAAGAATAATTAATGTTTAATAAACAATATATTAATTGTAATTTAATAGAAAGAAAGAGGCTTGAGGGGTGATAAGCATTTGCTTGAAGCCATTGGTTCATCGGAAGGTTTAGATGGATTTCCTGTTTTCAGTTTACAAAACGTGTTCGAGGCAAGTTTTCTTCAAAATTTATCATTTTCAGAAAATTGATTTATGGCTTTCATATTATGAAATTGATTTTTAATTTCTTTGTTTTATTTTAATATTTTCAGGATATTGACGAACACCTTCTACGAGACTACCAAGTTCTCCTTAACATATGGCCTTTTGTGGAACATATGAAAAACCTGGAGGACACTTCAGATAGGATATCTTATAGTGCTGTTATAAATGATATTTACAGTTATTTACAAGATCTCATTTGCGAATTCTACACAGTTATAGTAAATCGGGACCGTGATATTCCACCATTGCAAAACCCCGCCACAGTTCCGCCAACTTATAATACGTTGACAGCTGCCAGTCGACATTTATATCACTTCTTATTATCCAGAGATATGCAAAAAATTGTGACTGTCCTCAGAAACGGATATGCAGATAATTGAATTTCAATTTCATAAAACTGTTGCCTCAATCTACAACCAATTCTGAAATTTGCATAGTTTTACATATTTGATGATTAAAATTTGAATATTTTTATAAGAAATATTTGTTTATTTTGTCTTTGAGCTATAGAGTAACCATATGTTTTTTACTGGATTATAATATTACTGGTTTGTACCAAGTTATGTGGATTATTGTATATGTTATATGTCGAAAAGAACAGTCGAAAAGAACATGAAGTTAAAACGTAAAAGTAATTGTTATTTGCCTTCCCAAATTTTACAATTATTTTTTAGTATTTTATCATTTGAACATGACAGCATCTCCTCTGATAAGGATAATCTTGAAGATACAAAATACAGTTCTTTCTTGGCTATTTAAATCGTTAAGAACACCTTTTAAAGGGGCCTGGACAGAGTTGCATTGTTTATATTTCAAATTTCTAAGATTCTGCAAGAAATAATATCAGTTGAATTAACTGATCTCACTTGAATATTCTTATCTCTCAAGGATAACAACATTCTTCATAACTTCCAGTCAAACACCTATCCTTGTAAACACTGCATGAGCTCTGTGTTAGTGTGTACGTTTTACCTGGTGTGTTCAATTTGTTAAGCAAGCACACATCACTGTGCACGGAGTGACAAGACAAGCCTTAAAGGTAAATTGGTTTTGCTTTCTTCCACTTTTAAGCTGAACTCTTTTGATTTACAATTAAATTTCTTCTTTTCTTTAATATTATGGGCAAAGTTCACATGTTTCAATCAAACTTGTCTAGGAATTCGCAATTTTTGTTTAGAAATTTACACTTTAATCTGTAAAATTTACACTTTAATCTGTAAAATTTACACTTTAATCTGTAAATTTTGCATTTTAATCTGTAAAACCTCTACAGAAATCTGTAATGATCGATTTCATTGTGTTATACCTATGACAAGAAAAATTGTATAAAACTGAGGTGTTCACAAGTCGTTACATAAAATTTATACCTTCATTTATATGATAAGTAAGAATGGAATATCCTGGCCTCGTAATTTTCCCTAGTTAACATCGGGAATCTGTCTTCAATCCATTACTCTTTATTGCTATAGTAAAGAGTGACAAACAGAAAAAAATATATTTACATGTATCTCAATTTTTTTTGTCTTCTCATTTTCAGTTCAGATTGACATTGCAAGTTCATGGGTCTATAATCATGATGTAAAATACATCAATTAAGAAATAAACAACAATGTTAAAAAGTTCTCTGGGAAATAAACTTTTAGTTGGTCACGTGATCAAATCCTGTGTAGCCCGAAGGGCTTCTCAGTAGATTTGATCACGTACCAACTAAAAGTTCATTTCCCAGTGAACTTTTTAACATTGTTGTTTATTACTTATATTTACATTTAAGACGAATAAATTTCGAATAAAATTGTATGTCGTGACGCGCAATGACCTAGAAGTTGTTTGGTCAAATTAGTTTACCTCGCTCCAACATTTGAATGTTTACATCCATGTTTCGCAGTCCAGTTAAGGAAATATCTGTATATAGTATAAGAACAATGATCGCTTCTGAGAATAATCTACCTATTTCATAAGTTCCAAAAATATTTGAAGTCAAAAGCGATGGTATCGCCTGTTTTAGTTTACATAACCCAAAAGGAATTTCGGGTTAAAAAGGTAAGTGCGGTTTTAAGCTAATTATAGTATTCAAAACGTACCTTATTCACATCGAAAGAAGATTTATTGTACATCTCGTGATTGAAAAATATCCATATTGTTTATCATTTTATCTTTTTCATCGTTATTAACTAAGAAATTTTCCAAAACAAGTTGCACCGTTACAGAAATATTATGTGGACAAAATATCACCTCACTCTGTGATTCGGTCGCGCTATGACCTCTGACCCCAAAATAACATTAACACAGAATTGAACGTATTTTCTCTTCAATAGATTCATCTAAGAAAGATATTTGCAAATGTAAATATTTAACATTTAAATCATTTTAGAACGTAACAATAAAGAAGCACCATTGAATCAAGGGATATTAATTTTTACGCTGTTCCAAAATTACTAAAATCTCATATACTTAAATTATCTATACTTGTATATACATGTACTTTAATAATTGATATTATAAATAGTTACATAATATCATAGATCTTCGATTCAATAAGTAATTCAATTGTTGCCCCTAATACAATCATGTAGAATATAATTCAATTAATGCTATCAATACCTGAACTCCTGAGCGAATCAAATGAATTTTTGTATAATGGTATCAATATTAAATTCAGTGAGAATATTTGTTTGATTTGCTCTTAACTTCTACTGAATTCATAATTCATACTTCTTTCAAATATTCTTTGAGAGTCTCACTTATATCAGTCATACTAGATTGCTTATTATATGTATAATATCCATAAATATAACATCTGATAAGTAGTTATTATCCACATTTACGGTTAAATAAGAAACCAAAATTAGATTTTATCATGCAGGATTCATGGTATGTTGGCTTTAGAGCGTTTTAAAGTGTACATTTTACAGATTATAGTGTAAAATTTACAGATTAAAGTGTAATTTTTGCAGATTAAAGCATAAATTTACATATCAATGTGTAAAATTTATAGCTTAAAGTGTATATATATATATATATATATATATATATATATATATATATATATATATATATATATATATATATATATATATATATATATATATATATATATATATATATATATATATATGTATATATATATTAATCTAAACAATATTTTATTCACTGATCTAAAGGCCTATTTTAAGCATCTCCCTACATCAAGGTCAATTTACAAAATAAATAATATTTAAGGAATGAATCTAATTCTTGGCCATATTATCGAGTATAATCTGGTTTGGGTCAGTTTACGCTTTATAATCCGCGAATGGAATAAATATTTCCTGTGTGTTTAACCAATAAAAATGCATGGTACAAACAAAATTAAATTATTAATAAAGGAATGTACAACAGTTAAAAAAAAAAAAGAACAAAAATGAACAAAGTAACAGAAAAGGACAAATTACAGAAAAAAAGTAATAAAAGAATGTACAGAAGTGAAAAAATAGAAATGAAGAAAGTAACAGAAAAAGGGCAAATTACAGGGGGGGGGAATAGACAAAAACATAGTATAATTCGAGGATATGTAAAATACTTACGGATGAAAGTGTAAATTTTACAGATTAAAGTGTAAAATTTACATTTTTGTGTGTGAAATTTACATTTAAAGTGTAAAATTTACAGATTAAAGTTTAAAATTTACAGTTTAAAGCGTAAAATTTACACTTTAATGTGTAAAATTTACAGTTTGAAGTGTGGAAAATGAAAAATAAAAAAAGTTTCCAAGTGGCACTAATACGCTTCCGTAAGCAACACAAAATTCATGATTTTTTTAAAATAATCTGAGCTTTAAATATGTGTTCAAACCCCTTAAAATAAGAGTATCGTGCAGCTAAGTAACAAATTAGATATGCATACTTGCCAATAATAACTGCAACCTCAGACCCTACCACGGCATGAGATAGCATTCCAAGATTGTAGACATTCAGCTAATCCATGAAGAGTTCTATTCCTATGCTGTCATTAGTGTATTGGGGTCTTGGGGTTTTACCAACATTTGTCCTTCAACACTACGTATTTTCTTAAGTAACTTATCGCAATGTGTTTCCATTTATCAATAAAACACTATGTCTTTTTAATTTTTATCAATATTTTTTCCAATTTTAATTTTAATCCCCTATTGATTCCTACATTGGACTATGAACAAATGGAATGTTATGAGAGAATAAAAATTGTGAAAAGAGATAAACTAGTTACATTTGAAAACATAAAAGTTAGAAGAATGTGCAATGGATATGGATATAATTAAGCACTCACTGCCGTTCGATCCCACTCGTGCTATTTTTCAAATTTCGGTAAAAAGACAAATTCACAGGAAGTGTTAATTCTGCGTCATAAGAATTCAAGAGAATGTCAGTTAGTAGCAAGGCTTTTAAATTAACAACCATTTGAATTCCAACAGATTATCGGAAAACATTGTACTCAAAAATTACATATTAAGAAAATTGTATCATCAATTAGGAACTAATTCAATTAAAGAATTTTCACAAAGTAAGTTATACGAATAATTTAATTTTGCTTGTATTCTAGATATCCAAAAAGAAACAATACTATTTCTATATAACCTGGTTAAGTATTAGGACACACCCCATGATAACCAGCTGATCGTCTGTATCCACGCAATCATCGCATTGTAGACCTCGGGATTCATGGAAAATTCTAGATTTAATAAATGTACATGTACTTTTAATTTGGAACAGTGTTGGAACAGTAACTCGATCTTATCACAAAATATGTAAACAAACAACATGGCTGCTAGACCTACATGTATATGTGTAAGACTCTAAGGTCCGATGGTGACGCCAAAGTCCGATGGTCTCGCCAAACCCCGATGGTCTGCGCCAAACCCCGATGAAATGCTGTCGTTACGGACGCCAAAGTCCGATGGTCACGCCAAAGTCCGATGGCTCGTTTCCTATGAGACACGCTGAGCTAAAGTACGATGGTCTGACACGCCAAAGTCCGATGGTGCGGAGAAACAATCAGCGTTTATGACGTCACAATAATCCGACGTCAATCCTTGACGCCGTTGTTCTGCATTCAAAAGCCATCATTTCTAAATTCGTCCTCGAATACAATTTTATTGATTTTGTTTATTGCTTGCACCTTCAAAATATATTAGGATTAGTCCTCGCACACAACTCGATTGATTAGGGTTAGTCCTTGCATTGCACGGCCCGAGATATTTAGGGTTAGTCCTCGCACAATAGTCGAGTGATTAGAGTTAGTCTTGCAAACACCCAAGATATCTAGCTTAAATTGATACACACTTTTTGAGCGTATAGGGTTAGTCTCGCACCTATCTGAGAGATAAGGGTTAGTTTTCGCATTCATTTGTTTATTTATACTTATTTTTAAGACCTTGGCATGGCGCGTCATTGAGGTTT